ACATGGGCCAGTGAGCTGCGCCCAAGCTGAGCTGCCACTGAGCTGCCAACAGGTGGCAGGATGGCTCAGCTGGTGAGAGCACGTGCTCCTAACAAGGCTGCTGGTTCGACTCCTGCATGGGATGGTGGGCTTTGCCCACCCACAACTAAGAATGAACACAGCACCTTGAGCTGAGCAGCCGCGAGTTGCTGATGGGTGGCCAGATGGCAACTGGACCTGGAGCTGAGCTTGCTGCGCCCTCCACAACTAAGATTGAAGGACAACAACTTGAGTGTTCCCCTTCCCCAATTCCCCCCAAAAATATTTTTTTTAAAAAAACCTTTTTATAAAAAAGTGATTTGATGCTTTTAAAAGTGGTGTTTTGAAATTTTGCTAAGCAAACATGTGTGTCCAAAAGCTCCCAGTTCTGGCTGAATAACTGGAGTGGGCCCACTAGTGGTCAGCACGTGGAGCGCAGCGCCAGTGTCCACCTGGCTGCCACACTGACCCTCTGTCACTCCACCTGTCATTCAGGATCCAAATCCCAAAAGCCCTGCCCGACTCTTAGGGGCTGTGCTGACCCTGGAATCATGTGCATCAGGTCACCCTGTCCCTTCAGTATCCATGTGGGAGAACTGTGGTTGGCCTCTGCCACCTGCCGAGCAGCTGCTGTTGGGAGGAAATAAACTCCTCTGAGTAGCTGGACGCCCAGACCAGACCCACCCCGCACTCTGTCCTGACCTAACGTCTGTGTGACGTCGTTTCCTCATCTGACGAAACAGGTGTATAAGTGTCCTGAGAATCAACACCAACAAACGAATGGTACAGCTGTGCCTGCCGGACACGGCGCTCCAATCCTTCACACTTGCCCAAACAGCTGGTGACCTCGGAAGACAGCAGGGGCCCTCCCCAGCGGCCTGAGCACAGGAGCCCTATACACTCCAGCGTGCCAGCAACACCATCAGCTAGCCCATCTCTGAGCTCCCACGCCAGGCCAAAGGGCACAGCGGGGCTGCTCGTCATGAAATGACTGCCCTTTGGAAGCCGAGGTCACCATCATCACCTGTGAAGTCCTTGGTGACTTCCAGGTTACAGAGCTCTACCTGAATCCTGTACTCTCCTGCCACAGCCGCCACATGAAGAAGACTGTGCCACCGCCCCCATTCTACCCAAGAAGCACTGGGAGATCCAGTGCGCAGGATCACAGGCCCAGGAAGCAGATGTCAGACCGGAGTGCAGGCAACACGCCTGTGGGCCCGGGGCACCTGGGCTGTGCGCTCAGAGGCTGTGTCTCTGGGCCCAGAGCTAGGTCAAGACCAGACATAGTGATCTCATGTGGGCAGCGCAGAAGATGTTGTCGGCCACTGGGGACGGTGCCCAGGCCAGATGAGAATTGTTTTCAAGGGAAAAGAACCGAGAACTCTGCAGCCTACAAGACCCAACAAAATCAGAGAATACCTTCTTGAACAAGCTCTTTAGACACTTAGAGGAAATGGAGCCCATTGGGAAGCAGGTCTGGTCACTGTAGCTGCTGCCGCCAGCCTCACAGACACAGCTGTCAGGACGCAGTGTGTGTGCACACAGGCAGACGCCAATGTCTCAACAAGCGGGGGTGAGGGCCTGAGGGGCAATGACTCGCCCATCACTGCCCCTACCCTGGGGGAAGCGCGCAGGCCACAGCACAGCACCCTGGGAGCCCCGCTAATGAGCTGAGGACAAAGCCAGTGTGTTCCAGAAATAGCTTGTGTGCCAGCCTCAAAGGTGTGCAGCAAAGTGTCCCTAGAGGGGACCTCGTCACCTGTTTTAATGCCTGAAAAGACACTAGGGAAAGCACTTCATCTGGGACAGAACTCACAGGGCCGCAGGTTGTGCAGGAGGGCCTGGGCTGACAGACAGGGCAAGCATGTGCCCGGCAGGCCCCAGAGGGAGGGACACGTGGGCACCAGGCACACGGACAAAGGAGGGGCCACAGAGTCACCTCGGGCTCCAGTCTGGCCCAGACTCCTGTGCGGAAGAGGCGGGCGAGGCTGGCCGAGGCCAGGCTCCAAGACCTGACCAGGTGCTGGACCCATGTCCAGGCCCAGACTCTGTCCCCACATTGATGCTGGCAACCAGGCTGGACACACAGGACACACAGGAAGGGGCCTCAGAGGATCTGGAAGCTGAGGCCTGAGGGGAGGCGCGAGAGGAGGTGCTGAAGAGGAATTCAGACCAGGTTGGGCAGGGAGCTACAAGCCCTGTCCCCAGGGCTGTGGGGCCCAGGCTCCCGCTGGTAGGGGACTGTCAGCATTGGGCTTGACTCCGAAACAGACCAGACACCAGGCACGGGGCCCAGAGCACAGGCAGAAGGAAGCCACGCAGGCCAAGTCAAGCACCTGACACTCCCGCCCCCACCAAGCCACGTTCCACATTCACCATGTTCCACGAGCGAGTGCCACCGCTGGGCCCTCCGGACCCCCTCCCTGGCTCCAGGCCTCCATGAGCCTGAGCCCCAAGGCCCAGGACTGAGCCTCACTATCACATCCCCCAGTGGCCACACCCCTGGGAACTCCCCATCTGTCCCTCTCCAGATCCTACTGTGCCCACCCCCACCCCAGATCCCAGGGAGGTCATCAGGAGGGTACAGCCCAGGCTCCCAGGCCACCTGGAGTGGAGCTGGAACCTCTCACACACCAGCACTTCCCTGGACGGGGTCAGGCGAAGCTGGGGCCCTGGGGACACAGCAGGTGACTCACCCCCTTTCCTTCTCCGAATGGAGGCTTGGAATCAAGAAACAGAGCAAAGGGGATAAGAGGCAGGCTTTGTCCCTCAGCACCCAGCCTCCTTCCCCAACCTCCCAAACACCAGGACCTCCCAGATCCCCACAGCCCCCAAACTACACAACCCCATCAGACCACGAGTGGCAAATACACCCCAATGCCAAGTTGGCACACGGCTTGAAACACAAGATGGAAACAACCACAAGCAGGGACATATGTTTTTGCGTGTGCACACACGCTTCTGCAGTCCACTTGGATGTGCACACATGCTCACACACACACTTGTGCACATCCACACACCTACACACACGCACACCCACTCCCACATGTGCACACACTTGTGCACATCCACACACATGCTTGTGCACATTCACATGCACACACATATGGAGACACCCATGCACAACTAAATCATATTCAGTTCAAATTTTTTCAAAGGAAAGGCAAAGCCCATAAAAAACAAGTTCTGGGGCCACTGATGGCTTCACTGGTCACCCTCAGGCATTCTGTGCAGTGCTTCTAACAGAGGGCAGGTCAGTGTGGTCACCAGGCCATGGCCAGTCAGACCGAACACTGGCACGGCACCTGCCCTGACATTCTCATCACAAAAGAAAAATGAACCCAGAAGTTCCAGGTTTCTCATGGGAAAGCGGACAGACAGGAGGGGCTTCGAACCCTGGCCTGGGTCCCCACTGACCTGCGCAGCCCAGCATGCTGAAGCTGAGGAGGTGAGCACATGGTGACCAGAGGCATCCCAATGCCACCCCAAGGTCCCTGCCGGACCCTGCCTCCCTTCCCACTTCTGCCGGCCGCCTCAGCCTTGCCTTTCCTGGGCGCCACCTCTGCTCAAAGCATCCGGCCTCAGGGTGCCCTTCCTACCTGTCCCCTGCAGGACTGTGCTTCTCCCCACCTCATCTGAGCGCAAGCAGCCACCCTTGCCACCTGCTTTTTGTGTCACCTCACCTCACATTTTCCTTTATTTCCAGCTGTTCAGGCCATCTCTCTACAGGGTCCTAAAGGGTTCCATGAGCTCTCAACAGTGTGACATGCACCTGCCACAGCAATGAGCCAACACGTCTTATTTCTATCTTTTGAAGGTGCAAACGCTGGATCGTGGGCTGATCCCTTAGGAACCCAGGGAAACCCTGATGCTGGCCTGGCTGCATCAAACCAGATGTTTCCCAAGAAGTTTGGCAAGTGGGCTGGCTTCCCAGGACAGCTGTCCTCTGGGAGTGGGAGTGGCTCCCCAGCCCTCAATGGAGCAACGTACAACTCGTGCCCAGCTTCAACCAAAGCTGTGACCTGACTCAGCAGGACGGAGGCTCTGTGCTAAGCTGTCCCCTCATCATCCTTCCCCACTCTGCTCAGGAAGAGCTGGTGAAGATGATGCTGACCTGAGGCTGCAAGACTGAGCCCCCTGGAAGACGAGGGTCATGGGCCAGCAGAGGAAACCCCAGACAGCGGGCAGACAGGAAGGAGGCTCGGCTGCTCACTGGTTTCTTCAGACAGCAGCAGCCCAGAGTCCCCAGGTTCCTGGAATACAGACCCAGGCTGTCCAAGCACCTCTTTGTCCCTTCTGAGCGTGGTTATGTGGCAGCCTCTGGAAGGAGGCTCCTGGGACGCACCCACCAGACCCAGCTGCCTAGTGGTACGGACTTATCAATCAGAGAGACGCATCAGCTCCCCATGACAAGCCTTAGACCCTTGTGACCTGGGGCCAGAAGCGTGCTAGCTTCTCTGCCTCATTTGTGAATGAATGGTCGGTCGGTCGTACTAGGTACAGAATTCCCCACCAGGTGGAGAAGCATTTTCACACCAGACTTCGCAGTGATTGTTCCACTGTCTTCTAGGATCTGCTGTCCCTGTGACAAGTCTGCCGTCGGCCTAACCAGCCTTCCTACATCATCCGGCTTTCGCTGCCAATTAAGATTTCTTTTTGTCTACGGTGTTGTGAAGTTTTACTGTGACGATTGCAGCTGAAGATTCATTTTTTACTTCCTTGCTTGGGACTTACACTTCTTCACAATTGAGCGTTATATCCTTTTTCAGTAAATTCTTAGCCTCTTACTCTTCATATATCACCTTTTCTCCAACCTTTTAATTCTTCCCCTCTGGGACCACCATTACGCTGAGATTTTCTCACTTGTCCTCCATAGCTCTTACTGGTAATACATGATTTCACATCTCTTTATCTGTCTCGGCTGTGTTTGAGGGTAATCTCCTCACATTTGTCTTCTAATTCGTGTTTTTCATCAGCTGGGTGTGTGGGAGAACCAGTCACACTGCAGCCAAGGAATCCTGTTTGTCCCATACACGGATTTTTTAACCTCAGTGGCTACACCTTTTTTATGTCACTAACAGTTCTTTAGGGATCCTTTTAAAATCAGCCTTTACTTTTTTTGGTACTGTCCTGTTGATGAGTTGTTATTTCTCTTAGACTTTGTATTTAAACACCTTATTTTATCTTCTTCATATTCTATGATTTCCAGTTCTTTTGATGCTAATTCCAGTTCTTGAGCTCGGTTCTAGCTCTCACCTCTCTTGGGTCCGCGGCTACATCTCTTGGCTTTATGGGGCATCAGAGCCCCAATCCTCAGCCCGTAGACTCTAGATCCTGTCCTGGACTATGGAAGCATAAGCTTCCTCTCACTCTCTTGGCTCTGATTTCTCTCTTCATTTTTGAGACCTGGGGAATTCCTCTTCCGTTGTTTTGAGTTGGCTGTGAGTTGTTGAAATTTTATTCTTTTCAGGAGAAAATCCTGCCCATGTCAGCTCAGTTGATGTTGGCGGCTGTCCTCCACATTAAACAAAAGTGCAGTCATGCATCCCTGCTTGAAAGGGGGGTGGCTCAGCCTGTGGCCAGATCAAGGTCAGGACTCAGCCAAGGGCCAGGGTCAGAGCTAGGTCCATGAGCAAGGTCAGGAATAATTTTAGGGGACAGGTAGGGATTCTTTCCATGGCTGTGTTGGGGCTCAATCTGGAGCCAGGATCAGGGCCCTTCCTGTGGCCAGGACTGGGTCAGAGCTCAGCCCAGGACTCGTGTCAGCGTTCCTTCTACGGTTGAAGTCTGTCTGGGATTAGGATTGGGTTTGGAGTATAGAAGGATAGAGCACGTTAACAGCCACGTATATCGAGATGTGCTCACGGTCACGTATGTCAGGTCATGTCCATTGACTGTCATACATGTCAAGACATGTCATGTATATCTGCACATGCCTATAATCAGGCTATTAACAGTCATGTATATCTGTACGTGCACACAATGAGGCTATCGCTAGTCACTCTGGGACTGTGCCCACGACGTGCCCATCAAAGCCCGACACACTTGTGTGCCTGCTGCAGCTCACGAGGGCCTGTCCCATCACTGTGCCAGGGACACTCACAGGGCCCTGCGGGCTCAGCAGCCCACTGTGACCACACTGCTTGACCATGAGCGAGAAGGTGCTGAGAGGGTCAAGTAAAAGCCAAATGGCACAGCCAGTGCCACGCAGAGCCCAGGGCCACCCCTCCTGCTCTTTTCTCACTTGGACGAGATGAAGGTGGGAAGTCAAACTGGAGAGCCACGGGCAGCACGTGCACACGCATGCAGACACGGGTGGGCCAGGCTCTGCCCATCAGTCCTGGCTGTCCCACAATCCCTCTCCACCCCCTCGGATGTCGTCCGCCTCCTCACCCCACAGACGCCCAATCCTTCCACCACTCCGGCACCCACCCGTTTACCTATGACACGTCACACGTCTATCCGTCCTCCCGTCTCTGCCTGGCTTTGGCGCCAGCTCACCGCACCTGGCCTCCCACCCCGACCGTGTGCCCACCGCCCGCCCCCGCAGCTCACCCAGTTCCTCGAGCTCGGCCGTCATGGACTTGGAGCGCAGGGTCAGCGTGGTGCTGGGGGCCCTCTTGGGGGGCTGCGGGGCTGCAAAGAAGAGGGAGGCCTTGGACCTCCTGTCCAGCAGGGGGCAGCGCGGCGCGGCCAGCTGCAGGTGCCACTTGCGCTCCACCGCCTGGATCTCCTCGTACTCCCGCGAGGACGAGTCGCACTGCGCCAGGATCTTGTTCAGGCTGCGGCTGGACGCAAACTTCTTCATGGCGCTGGGAGCTCAGGGGTGCGGAGAGCCAGGCCGGCCAGTCGCGGCCGCAGCCGGTGGTCAAGAGCACCAGTGGGGGTCCCGGTGCTGGCCAGCTCCAGCCCGAGTGCCCACCCTGCAGGCTCCAGAGGCTGAGCAAGGGGCACCAGAGCCATGGGGTGGGGGCTGGGAGGGGTCTCCCGGCAGGCTGGGCTCTTGCTGCTCCAGGCCCCCCCCCACAGGCCCTGGAGGCCACAGCCCCTCAGGGGACCAGGGTGTGGTCAGCCAAGCAGGGACCTGGGCGGGCGGGGCCAGCGAAGCCTCCTGGGCCCAGGCAGAGCCGAGACATCGCGGAGAAGACGCTCTTCCTGTTCCCTCAGGTGCCGCCTCCCCCTTCCCTCCGACAATAAGCGGAAGGCAGCGTCAACCTCACAGTTGCTATGGCAACCCCGGCCTCCAGGCAGCTGCTGGCAGTGCAGGGAAGGAGTGCTCTGCCACACCAGGGGCTGGGGGACGCCAGGAAGGAGGGGGCGGGAATCTGAGGCGGGCCAACCTGGGGTCAGGGGTCAGAGGCTGGGGCCAGGGTCAGCAGTCCAACAGCAGGGGTTGGGAAGGCACCAGGCCGACAGGGCGCTCGCCTAGGTTCAGGCATCTGATGTCAGCAGTCTGGGGTCAGGGAGTGGGCAGAGGAACATGGGCCTCGGGTCAAAGGTCTAAGGTCAGGAGCCAGAGGGCACAGAGGTCTGAAGCCTGACCGCTCACCTCTGCGCCGAGCCCCGTCTTCTTCCGGCTTCCTTGTCACTGACACGACCTTCATGACAAGACGGTTCCCGCCCTGGCGGATCAGAGCCACCACCTGCTTGTGTCCAACCTTCACCACGTTTACCCCGTTCACCTGGGCGGGCGGGCGGACAGACAGACAGACAGACGGGCGGGCGGTGGGTGGGGCAGTCCAGGTGTGGCCTCCTCGGGCGCAGAGGTCAGCACCCAGCCCGCCTCACCTCGATGAGGAAGTCCCCTGTGCGCAGCCCGGCCCTCCAGGCCACACCCTCCACGTCCACAGACTCGAGGTACTGGAGCGCGGGGAAGGCCGGCGTGGGCGTGAACTCCTCGATGGGGGTCTCTGCTGCGGGGCGGGGTGCGACAGGGAGGGAGGTGCTTCAACACCGCGTCCAGGTGCAGGCGGCTGACACACAGCAACCACCCACGAGCGGTTCACATGCTGAGCAGCCGACAACTGGGGCAGAGTGACCTGAGGCTGGGAGCAGCAGCCGGGGGCTGCCCGGTCCAAGAAGAGCCAGCCCCGGAATCTGGGGCACATCCCTAGAGAAACTCCCCACTCCCCCCACCAGAAAGGTTCCCCACTCAGCGAGGCACACTCAGTAGGGGTCCTGGAAATCCACAAGGAGAAGGGATCACTGCCTTGCATGGAGACATTTCAGACCAAGAATACAGCCACAGCAGAGGGGCAAAGAATGGTGGACCAGAAAGAGGGCAGAGGCGAGGCAGGGGCCAGGGGGAGGCAGGGGGTGAAGTCGATGTAGGGGACACGGGCGAGGCAGGGCACGGGCAAGGCAGGGGGCAGGAATAAGGTATGGGGGAAGGGGTGAGGCAGGGGACAGGGACAAGGAAAAGGCAGGGGTGAGGCAGGGGACGGGAGAGGCAAAGGGTAGGGGTGAGGCAGGGAGGAGAACGGGAGCAGAACGGAGGCAAGACAGAGAAGATGCCCCAAACAGTTTTCAGCAGTTTTCCTGCCAATTTGACACCCCAGCCCCCGACACACACACTGCCCCCCACCCTTCATTACCTTTGGCCCCCCGGAGCACGAAACCAAAGCCCTCGTGGTCCCGTTTCTGCAGGACGGCCACCTTGTCGTCAATGACATAATCGCTGATAGAGGAAAGCAGGGAGGGGTGAGAAGCCTTCCAGAGAGCATGGCTGGCCAGGCTGACCCCCATATAGTGTGTGCCCCAAACAGGATCCCACAGGCAGGCCCTACCCCTGGGAGTTGCCCTTGGACTACCTTGGACCACCCCTCCCCACTCTGACCTCTTCACCCCCAGGCCTCCCTCCACGTCTGACGTCCCATGCGTGCCCACCTGCCCACCAGTACCTGTGTGAGGTGAGGCTGTCATAGGAGCCCACCGTGTAGTGGCGGAAAAGTCGCTTTGTCCGGTCCTCCCGGGTTTCTGAGGAGAGTTGCAGTTGCTAGTGGAAGGTCATGTCCTCCAAGTGGCCTGAACTGCCCTTTAACCATACTGGTCACCCCCTATGCCCACAAACACACTCCTGGCCTGGTTGTGCCACATGAGTAGGATATTGGGCCCAGAGGTCCTAAGGCAGCAGTTCTCAACCTTCCTAATGCCGCGACCCCTTAATACAGTTCCTCATGTTGTGGTGACCCCCAACCATAAAATCATTTTCGTTGCTACTCTATAACTGTAATTTTGCTACTGTTATGAATCGTAATGTAAATATCTTTTTGTTTTCCAGATGGTCTTAGGTGACCCCTGTGAAAGGGTCGTTTGACCCCCAAAGGGGTCGCGACCCACAGGTTGAGAACCGCTGTCCTAAGGTAAGAGGGCTGAGGGGACCATGTGAGACATTCTGGCCTCGGGGGGTCAGGGTCCAGAACGGGTGGGGGCTGTGGCTCATCTCTGTTCGATGCACACGGCAGACAGGACAAGGCCAGGGCCATCCACAGAGAGCCAGAAGCCCCGGCGCCACAAGCACGGGAGACATGTGCATGCACACACGTGTGTGGCCCGCAGTCGAGTTTTAAGTGCTGTGCTCACATGTGTGTCTGTGTGTGGCCCATGGTTGTGTATAAGTGCTGTGCTCACATGTGCCTGTGTGTATGTGACCAGCTGTGTGCCCGTGTCACACTATACACCCGCGCACACAAGCATTTAGGTGGCACTATGTCTTCACTGAACCCTTCACAATGGCCCACTGATGGTTTACCTCATGGGGTCCCCCACTCCAGACCCTGCCTCTGAGTGCGCAGGGCATCCATGTATGGGGGGACTGGGTCCCCTTCCCTGATGTCACTACATCCCAGTGTTGTCCCATCTGATCTCAAAGTCCCTCAGAGCCACCACAGAGCTGGCCCGCTGTGTGCCTGCTGTCCCACCCTTAGCCTCACCTACAAGCCTGCAGCTGCTAATCCGCACCTCTAGCCACGGCCCTCCCTGCCCACGCTGACTTCTCTGGCCTTCCAGGACCTCGAGAGACCCCGAGATGGCGCCCGCCACCTCACATTTCATCCCTCAGCTCCTCCCTCATTTGCTACCATTTTAGCATTTCTTGAGATTATTCATTCAACGAGTATTTACTGAGCTCCTACTATGTGCCAGGCACTGTTTATTTTCAGCTCTGAGAATCCAGCAGAGAACAGAAGAAAGCCCTGACCGACCCTATGGCATTTACAATCTATTAGAAGACAGAGTCAATAGAGACAAGAAATAGGTACCCGCTTAACATGTTAAATGCTGGTGCTGGGATAAAGCAGGCTCGGGGTACGGAGAAAGTTTACAGTTCTAGGGGGTCATGTGACGGTCTCTCCAGGAAGACAGAGCTGAGCAGAGGCACAGCCGTGAGCAAGCAGCCGTGGGTCATGTGGGTGAAGGACTTCCTGGGAGTGAGGAGCTCAGGACAAAGCCCACATGCAGGTGTCGGCTTGGGGTGTTCTGGGGACATTGAGCAGTTTGTCCAGCTGGAGCAGAGGGAGCAAGGCCGAGTGGGAGGAACCGAGATCAGACGGAACCTACGATTTCTGATGACCTGTGAGCTCCTTGTGGGTAAGGACCACATCACACTTGTTTCTGTGATCCTAGCACCTAGCAAGCACAGCACCTAGCACGTAACAGGCACTCCAAATGCTAACTGGAAGGACAGATAGGTGGACAATTGGCAGGATGAGTGGTGGATGGGTAGATATATGATGGATGGATGAAACGAGATGGAGGGAAAGAGAGCGGGGGACAAAGGGGAGATGGGTAAACAGATGGATAAGACTGAGTGGTTTGATGGAGATGGGATAACTAGACTGGTGGGTAGATGGATGAAGGTGGATGGATGGATGGATGGATGGATGGATGGATGGATGGATGGGCAAATGGGATAAGCGGATTGATGGATGGTGGATGGATGGATGGATGGATGGATGAACGAATGGATAAGTGAATGGATGGATGGATGGATGGATGGATGGATGGATGGATGGATAAGTGGGTGGATGGATGGAGGATGGATGGATGCATGGATGGATGGATGGGCAAATGGGATAAGCGGATTAATGGATGGATGGATGGATGATGGATGGTGGATGGATGGATGGATGGATGGATGGATGGATGGATGGATGAACGAATGGATAAGTGGATGGATGGATGGATGGATGGATGGATAAGTGGGTGGATGGATGGATAGATGGATGGATAGATGGATGGAGGATGGATGGATGCATGGATAGG